GCAGCAACGTAATAGCTACCTTCGCAAGTCACGATATACTCGCGCATGACGGCGCGTCAAACGCATTGGAATTCTCGTCGAACATTTCATTAACTGCTAGTTCAAAAGTTTTACATTCAGCTGACGTATACTGGAACTGTCACTGAGTTTCTCGGATATTTTTGGCGCTTTTAATAGAATCGTATTATTTTTTAAATTAACATTTGTACGATATTACTTAATTTTTAGTATTATCTCTCAGTCGGATATACTTTGCACATATTTTGCGGTTTTCCAAGAATACATAAAAAATTAGGATAATTATTTTTTAATTTCCTTTTTAAATTTAATTTATCAAAATATTTAAATGATCGGTATTAATAAAATTTCAAAGTATTAATATTTATATAATAAAGCAATGCTCTTCATACTTTAATCTTCTGCACATATTCTATTTTCTGGGTCAGTTGGTATGTGTCGTGCGGTAAAAATATCTTGACAGCATCATACATCATTGCTAATTCCCGCAAAAAGTGTCGTAGCGATTTAACAGCGGGCGCAGCGCGCCTCGATACGCAGCGTTCCGCCTCGGAATGCAATTCGACATAATCTGACGATTCGCCACGGGAGAAAAAAAGACATTCACATTGCTAGTCGCAGTTACGACGGTATCTGGGCGACGGTATCCGGAACTGGGATTCTTTTTTGCGTCAAAAACCGCAGAAAGTTGTAACTGCGAGAAGTTTCCTCGCGGCGAACCGTTCTTCGTGACCATCGAGTGGGCGGACAAAGAGTAGGAGGAGGAAAAGAGAAGGAGAAGAGTGAAATAAAGAAAAAAAAAAGACCAAGAGACAAGTGAGAGGAGAAAGAGGCGCATTTACAGGTCTACCGTTTTTCCTCCTCCTCCTCTTCCTTTTCGGTATAGCTGTCTCTTGCGTAACGGTATCTTCGCCGTGAGTTGAGGCGAAACTGACATTCAAAAACTCACGGTTACGCAACCGTACTTGAAGCCGATGATTAATTGCTCGATGAATACCAGCTGTGTCTCACTACGTCATAAGAGAGCGCTTAAGTCGGCTGTGCTTGTTTCGGCCCTTTGCATACCGTTATGATCTCGCACTAGGACGTCCCGATCCTCTTACTTCAAGATTCGCACAAATAAGAGGCGTAATTTATATCTCTCGCGTATGATCTTCATTCACTCTCCGAAGAAAAGGACAGTAGTTAGCGAATCACTTGTGCGAGATATCCGAAGGCGTGATTGGCAATTATCCGTGGGTAATTATTTATAGAAACGTAAGTGGCGTTAAGACAATTGACGAGCGTTGCGATGCGATAGAAAAATAGGAGCATCGCTCTCGATGAAATGCGGCACGTCCGCGAACCGCTAAGATAGCGCTAGGTGTGTCGTTAGTCTTGCAAGGCTGGCACGAAACACTCAGTCATCTCACGGATTCATTACATGCTATTGCGGGCATGTGCTGCGCTGCATCCGTCCGCATCCGTCTCGTGAAATATATAACTCTGAATTGCCTTTAATCCACGTTTTTGCGGCGCATATTGCTTCTTGGCGATGCATAATGTTTATACACCGCGTACAGTAAGAGTATCCGGCGTAATGGCTACGTGCAGAAGTGGTTCTCACGAAAGTACAAGAATCTCGTGTAATCTACCGCAAGTGGTTATTAGCTCTGACAAGAGCGCTACCCATTAATGTAATTAGAGCAGCATCGTAATAATTACACATAATTGGATAATTGAAATAATATAATAATAATAATAATTCGAAAACGTGATGGAAAATAAAGAATTTGTTTAAACTAATTATTAGAAAAGTTTGTCGTTAGGGGACGAGATGACCTTCTGCATTTGCCTCCAGATATGCACCACCTTCTCTGTTCATTAACCAGCGCTATAAACTTTCTGCTTTGAGATGGACAATAGAATAATTCAGTAATTCTATGGGTCTTTCGCATTACATGGGCATTCAATTCGTCTCGCAGGATGAGCAGTTTCGCTATGACCGGAATCCCATCCTTTTCCTTTCTAACTTGCCGCCGTCGGTTCCGTTCGCATTCACGGAAATCACGCCCCTAGAAGGTAGAAAGGCAAAAAGCTGTAAACTGCTTTATGGTTTATCTAACTAATTATTGATTTAACTTCACTTCCTGACGATTTTCTGAGAAGATCACCGCACCAGATCCGTTATTGCATAGCTGCAATGAGTCGGCAAACGCGCCTACAAATTGATTACACGGTACGTATCTTTGCTTGCCGGTGCATTCGGCGCGATAAAACGCAACTCTGGAGAATAGCCGGTCGTGCCGGCGGCAAGGCGAATCGCACAGAGGAGGAGGCGCAACGTTGCGGAAGGTTTATATTTGAAAAAAGCTTTTCCTACCGCAGCATAACGCCGGCCTTGCTCCACGTTGATTTCTCGCGGCTCGCCTGTAATTTCGCCACTGATACTGGCTATTACGAACGGTTAGATCAATTCAATTTTACCGGCGGCTGCCGTAAAAATCAAAATGAAAATCGCCCTCGAATAAAGAATCATCGCCACCCATGGGCTGGCGAAATTGATTTAAAGTTACGAAGCGTTCAGCGCCCCTGGCTCGATACGAATGATACAACCGACTCGCTCGCGCGATGTGTTGATCGACCGTGTAATCCTTTAAGTTTATTTTACATCATTATCTTAACGTTATATCCGCAGAAGACGTCCGCTATGTTTTTTACCGCAAATTGAATTGCGCTGATTGCGGGGTTGATTACATATACGGTTGTTACGATATATCATCCGAGAGAACGGGAGATGCGAAAGAAAATGCACATTATTAAAATGACGATTTATTTTTTAACTAAACAAGCGCATGCAATAAACTGTAAAAAAAATTAAAAAAAAAATATATGCACATGCAGTTCAATCTAGCAGTGAGCTGTTCAGGAAATATATTTCACATAATTTATCGCGCATCTGCTCGGTACGAAATAAGCGTGTACGTTTGCGATGTTGCCTTCATTCTCAATTATTTCTCACGCTCGAATTAATAGGGAGACACGCAACGGGTTCGTGCAATTATCCCAGGCGAGATTACGCACCCTCGGTCTCGCGAGAAACTCGCAAAAACGCCGTCACTTTCGCCGCTAACGACAGTGACAATTCAGCCAAAGCTGGTCAAGCAAGCACCACGCGGCTTAAAGTCATTCTCGTTCATGCGTTTGAAGCGGTACGCCTGCGTTGCTTTTTCGTGCCGCATGCAGGCGTTACTCATCTTCCCGGAACGATACTCTGCCCGCTGCTGCATCTGCATTCGCGCCTCGGCGGCTGTTAACCGCCGTACGTTTGCGTGCGTGCTTCGACCGGTAACTGCCCTCACGCCGCGATGTAGCGTGGCTGCGTTCGTCAACCGAGGAGCTCATTAACTCGAAATCATTTCTCATTACGCGCCGCGCCGAGCACGGACAACGGCTTGTCTCGTTCGCCGTGGGCGGTTCGCATAATCGGCCTGGTTACACCCGCCGCGCCATATTTCTGATTCGTTCGTTTCTCTCTTTGGCGATGTTCTTGCTCAAACATCAAAGGTTCGAGTTTCCCTCGGTGTGTACGGGATTTTAAATATCGTAAACTTTTACACGACAAATGCGACTGCGAATGATTCACATGTACTCCGACGTACGAATGTATTGGTTTCGCGTTACGTAAGCGGCATAATTAAGATTATCTTAAATACCTTAAAAAGCTTTCTCACTTATCGCGCGACACCAGCCCTCATTACAGGCACGAATGATTGCGTGAAACCTCTTTTTTTTTTATGCAAATAATTTGTTTTTGAATTAATAAATTTTATGCACGTAGCGCCGCGTCTTTTACATTACCACTTTTTTTTGGACCGAACCTTAATTGCATGCTATATAGACGTTCCCGAGTAAAAAAGACACCGCTGGTATCAGTGCGCTCGCTTCGAGCATACGTGATTATTATTCGTTTCATTAACATGCAAATTACGTACACGCCTGAGTCGAACCGGCCTGAACGTCTAGCGTAACTCGCAATTGCAATTGCACCACTCATAATTAGATTCATCGCGTAATTCTCGCATAATTTATTACTTAGCGCACGGTCGCCCGCGGACGCGGCGTTTCCGTAATGGAAAAACGTCTGACCGGATTATCACGTTGTTGGACTCGGTTGTTTTCCCCACTCCAGTCACGAGTCTATTAGCTCGGAGCCTGCTAGCGATGCGTTTTCTCGCAATGCAAATCGCGCTACGAAAAGTGCGCTGCGCCGCAGGTAGGGCAAGGTGTTCGAGCACGACGTTAAATCACGCCTGGTCCGTTCTAAATGGCCATTAGCCGGCCGGCGAATCCGTAATTATCGGGTAGAGACGTCGACTTGCCGTGTACAAAGTGGGGAGAATCGTAGACGCGTAATTTATCGACTAGTTCATTGAACTTGGAGTCGAGCTGCTCGCATAGGCGAAAGCGGTGCGTCCAGAAGGAGCGGGATTCATGCTTCGCGCCTCGAGTTATCGATTGATCTTCCCGTAGTTTAGCGTGAACTTTGAAAAAAAGAAAAAAAATGAAAGACGAAAACATCAGCGGATAGAAGCGTAGATTAGTGACTGTGATGGCGCGGTGCAGTGGCAAGAGATTCTACGTGAGACGATTAACACAGATTAAGTGAAATCACCGAGTGATTACGCGAAGGCGCTCATTACGCGTACGAGCGTAAAAGCGCTTCGAAATCACAAACGGCGGGAGTGCTCGAGCCGGCGATGGCAACCGGAGGGACACACAGGATAGAAATTATCCTAAGTGTTGCCGTCGGCGAAGCCACCCCCGAGAGCATTAATTTATCGCATCCACGCCATGATCCCAGAGACGATAGAGGAAATTCTGTCTCTCCTCCCCTCTCCCGGCCGCTCTCGTCGCGCCGCATCCTGTCCTAGGACCGGTAGACCTCCGGCTTCTCCGGTGGCTGCATCTGCAGCGGCCGATCGGGAAAAATTCTGCGAACAAGCGGTTTCGTGTAACCGTGGACGCAGACCAGGATCCGTGAGTATTCCTCTTCTCGTCTTTCTAGTCATAGACTTCTTCTTCTTCTCTTCCCGCTTCTTTTACCGCTTGTCACGGAGTCTGCTTTCTCGAGGTGGATCGTGTTCTTGAGCGGTGCAGCGGGTTTCTCCTGGAGATCGTTTTGTCTCGCTGTCCTGCCTCCTTGGTTTTGCTCTGAGCTTCTATTCCCGGTCGTTCCATTTGCATCGGCCGGAGAAACCGGACGAGCGAAGAAAGAGAAAAAGAGAAAGAGAAACGTGCGACGGGAGATCAGCTTAGGGTGCTGATCGCAAAAATCGCGGTACACGCCGGCTGGAACGGCACCCGGCGAGGGGGAAAATGTACGCGCAGCTACGACTTTGCATGAGCACGACCGCGTAATGTCCCTGGCAATGGCGAGATCAAGCTATCGACTTCTCGGTAGCATGTGCCGTTTACCGATTTGCTGTCGTGTGCTGTCGTGTCGACAGTTTGCAAACCGGTGTTTCCAGCGTAATTAAATTTATACGACACCGTGACACGAGATACTGCGCTCCGAGCGCAATTCGACGTTAAGTAGGTTAAAAGTTCATTGAAATTAAATCTCAAGGATCTTCCGTTGCTTCTTCGTTCTTCAAAACCTACAAATTTATTCTTACGCAGAGGAAGATAGCGAATCTAGCACACACTTCGTTCCAAAAGTATACGTATAAATAAAATGATTGAAATTTGCATTTGAATGTTGTAAAATCCGTTGAGAATGTGCGTAATTTTGCTTTCGTTTATCAGTGAATATTCGGAATTTCGAGAGGCAGCTTACATTCATAAATTATGTTAGTTACGTTGTCGACGGTATAACGGTCGACGCGGTGCCACCTTCTGTTCTGCATTATTCTCCTTTCTCCTTCCTCAGGATAGATTTCTTGTGATTCTACGAAGTAAGCATATCACACGAAAGCGCCACGGTAGGATAAGTGATCCGCTATGTCAGCGATTTAACTGTAAACACGAGGACGCACCGTTCCTGGCATCTTTCAACGTTATCCTCAAGTTTCGCACTTCGCCTCATTATAATACGGAGTAACGGCACAACGACCGTCATCTCCACCAGTTAATTATCAATCTTGTTCCCGGAAAACTAAACTCACACTCGCACGCTCTTAACACATTCATTACTCCCTTCATATTCACATCTGAGTAATTACGTTAATTTTTCTCACACGTAATCTAAGTGCGGAGAACAAATTGAAGTAGACCGCTCGATCAATGGGCTCAAAAATCGATGGCGGCACATTATTTTTTCAATATATAGAATTTTATTCTTGATAAATTTGATATTTTTGCATTGATGTATGCAATCGGTTCGTTATCAGTTTAATTCTCAAGAATATAAGCAGAGTTATTAAAATGCTAGATTATTGGTTTTTTCACTCGAGAAGCGCAGCAGTCGCTCCAAATTTGTTTTTCTCGAAACTTACATTAAAATTTATTACACGATTTCGCTATAAAACTAACAATAAGATAAAAGTAACTGTAGCTCGCCGATGAGTGTCGTCGTTTAATTATCAGTCCAGTTTCCGGAATGTGACAGTTTCCTTATTGGTTCCTGTTTTACTCATTGGAGCACGCAATTATTCGCAAGGTCATGCGTTCTTGCAGCTTGTAAAACTAGTTTTTGATAAATTGTTTTTTAGTAAAATAAAAAATGATGTAACGGAAATTTTTTGCGCAATACAACTAGTTGGTTAAATGTCAATCATCTTCGTTTAACGTAACCGTAAATTTTTCTAGTAATGATACGGTGGACAACCTATCGATTATCTTTTACAACGATACTTGTTGAGGAAAATTATAAAGATATGGAAACGTTCGCGACCAAAAGTCCGCAATGCATTTTTCCTGCACAAAATCTAGAGTATTTAAATTACATTACCGTTTCACCATTGCAGCCTAAATGTTTTCTTTCTTACTTTACGGATATTAAGATTATCTTGTATAAATGGAGCGAGAAGTAGCCCTGGGCCATTTTGTTTGTGTGGTCTTGTTATGAAAGAATTCGATCTTTTCTTTTTTTTTTCATGATAATTTTCTTCTGCTCTTTTCTGCTTTGTAATTGCCTTTTTGCAAACTAAATACTGTCATCGTGCAAATCCTCCGGCTAGTCTCGACATAATCAATAGGTGCTTTCTGAGATCTGCCTGCTTGATTTTGTTTCGAGCGCGTCAGAAGGATCTTGTCATAGATGTTATGTTTCTACTTGACTTAATACCGACAAGATATCTAATGGCTCGAATGCTTATCTATCCTTCGTGTAGAATGTTCTTTATACTATCGATCATATGTATATGAAGGAAAATTACTTTACTATTTAGTTACAGTTAATCATTTCTTGTATTTGAACTGTTTTTAATTCTCATATCAAATATAATTATTTTCCGTTTTATTATTTTCACATTCACAACCGCTAAATCGATCTCGCCGTTGGTGATTTAACGCGTCAAGTCAACTGTACCGCCGTATATCTTTTTACCGAATTGCATTCCGTAAGTAGCTTGTGAACATTTAGCAGCCGTTGTCCACTCGCGGGACAGAAGTGATTTACACGCGCAATCCAATTCGTGACCGCAGAAAAGTAATTTCTCCCGTGTCTCTCTATTACCTCGCCGCAGATGTTATCCCGTATCGCTATCTCATGCGAGTCGACGTTTACTTATTCCGGATTAACGTACAAACCGCCACTTTTGAGCGTAGGATACTTCCGTGCTTCATCTCTTTTTCTCCCTCCAACTGCTGAAGCACTATAATTCACTGTGTAAGGATAATTTCCGTTCGTAACGTAAGAAATCCGGGACCGCACCTGATGCGAGATGATGAAGTCGTTCCATTCTTGAACTACGCGTAACTCTCAAGCTGACATAGACGTGGACATTTTTCTCGACTGTTGTCTCGTAGCAGTTCTTCTACAATTAATCCATCTTGTTCACGTAGCATTAACGTATAATTTCCATCAGGAGAAATGTTGGCGGAAATGAAAGAAATGTCGTTTCGAAGAGAGATTTTCTTTTCTCTCATTTCGTAAAGAATTTCAAGCGAATAATTGCATATCAAAGTGCATTTAAGCGCTGAATTTTTTAAAGAATTTTGCATGATTACTGGTTTTTGTGTTTTTAATGTGATATTAATTGAGAATATAAGCGCAAAATTTCCTGTTAGGACTAGTTGACTTATCTTATCTTGTTAATGTTTTGTCAAAAGGTTTCGAAGGGCACGTTTTGCTAATCATTCGCTTTGTACGTGAAAAGACTTAACTAATCTCCGCGGAAAATAAAGGACGGAGATATAAATGCGAGTTGAAAGACCACTTATCCGCTTCGTGTAATTACTGTTTCCCTGATATGAAATCTCAGAGAGATTTCTGTACGCGTCTATTTATCTTAAGGCTTCACTCGAATGTTTCTTTCTATCGTTGAATGTCAAAGTTTTCCATGACAACGCGCTTCCAGCAGAATATTTGCCGTAAAAGTTCCTCTGGTTATCCTCCGAAGTATCAGTACGGAATGATCTCTTCATAGCTTCAAGAACCGACCACCTTCGCGAGGTAATATTTTCCACTTCTGCGAACATGCTTACAGTGAGATAAAAAGCGATTTTTAGCAATTTGCTAGGGAAGGAAGAAAAACGACTTCGGCAAAGCTATTCCAGACCACTGATTTATAGAACTCGTTATAACGACGATACATCATTTTAATATTCCTTGTTGTAGGACAAGTCTTGTCCCGCTGGAATAGTATGTTTACGGCATCTACTTGGATAATATCCTGGATGGATGGAGATGAGAGCCGAAAGGTCGGCCTTCTCTCTCACCTGCTTGATTATTATTCCCGTGCTGTGATAGCGCGAAGAAGGGAAGGGCTCCTACACCGTAGGTCGTTGCACCGGGACGAAGTCTTCCGCCACGGCGAAGCCGTACGAGCATAATCATATTTTTTTACTTCGCTTGTTCCGTTTTCGAATCACCCGTCTTCGCGTTCACTGCTTGCTACACAGACCAGACGATCTAGCTGTTAAATTACTTGGAAAAATTTATCGATATCGCGCCATCGTACACGTTCCGGTGCACGTTCCGCCGGATCGATTGCAAAGAGTTATCATTCGCTTTGATCGCTGGAAGAAAATAGACCTTTTTAGACTGTTTTCTCCGCTCATCTCGTTTCTCACGGCACATTGTGGCGAATTCCAAGCTGCCTATAATTATAGCAACAACGACGTGTTTTTTTAATATTTAAAAGTGATTTTTGATTAATAATAAAAAATATGCTCTAGAGTTTCTAGATTTTACATATTAAAGTATCGATTCCCTAAATATCAACTTTTTCTCACGGAAAAACGAAACAAATTCCGCGTCAATTTCACGGTCCACATGTTGAACAAAATATCGAAAAATGGATTACTCGCCAACGCGAATAACCCATGAAAATCCTATCTACGTACCTCCTTTAGCCGCTTTCAGTAAGAAGCTTAAGCGCGATTTACGTACCTTCATTGTTTATGAATCCGTCGTTCTACGCCAGTCTTCGTCCCGCTCCTTTTCTTTTCTCTCATTCTCTTGTTCTCTACCTTTACTCTTGCATTCCTGCAAACTCATTGTTTATGAATCCACGCTGATGCTACCGGTCTACGTTGTAAGGGATAGTCGTAGATCAGATTCATCGAGTTCATCGAGTTCATCGCGGTAATCTGAGGTTGCGCAAAAATATTCAACTACGTGAGAGTTCCAAAGATACGTGTCGAAAAATTTTCAGTCGATTTATTTATCTTTTTAATTTTTTACTCTTCACTTCAAAACATATAAATTCTTTATGGGAATAATTAGAAAACTTTTATGTTATTTTACATAAAAAATTATTCACTCAGATAAATAAACAGTTTATGTCTAAATATTAAACAATTCCCGTTGATATGATAACTGTAAGAAATGTGCAAAAAATTGTATCTGATCGAATGCTATGTGTCAGAGCACTTTTACAGAGTCAACGTTCTAGCAGAGCCGGATGGTTAGCATTCGCTTGTTACTTCACCGCTAATTCATTGAGACGAAATTCACATATCTCATGTTTCATGTGCGCACACGAAGGTTTGCTTTTCGCTTTCATGTAAATTCCTATCACGAGCAGTCCGATTCATCACGAAAGCGGATGTAGTATCGTGACGGGAAGCGGCTTCGCCGAGAGGGTGTGAAGCGACCCTAGACGAAGAAATGATTCCTCTCTTCGGAACGCCACGTTGTTTCTTCCTATTGCAGCATCATACTTGGAGAAAGAGTGAGATATATCATGATAATGTACGTGCAGCGTGTGGAAGTTTGTGCTTGGCAGAAGTAACAATCCAGTCCTTCCATAAAACTTTTTCCCTTTCCCTTTCGCAGACATCAGGGATGCAACAGTGAGGAACAATTTTCTTCAACGTCTAATCAGTTCCACCTAGCTAACCATCGGGACTGACGTTCATGAACATTGACGGAAAATTGATGCACATTTTACTGACGTCGTTATTGAGATAATTGCGATTGATTCATAATATCCATCGAAAGTCACTAAAAATTATTTAAAATTATTTAATCATACAAAATTATCAAATTTCGTAAACATATGAGAAACCGCAGTCGTATCAAGTATTAAAACATTTGCCAATCGACGAATTCTCTGCAGATAAGAGGTTTATAGAATGTAGTAGAAAATGCAAGTTGCTGCGTCTCTAGCATTCGAAAGAATTCTCCGGCGAAGCCATTATTTTGAGCGACATTGACGTTGCAAAGAGCATAAATCTGCATGTTTCAGTAGCCGCGGTACGTCGAATTGCAATTTTCCGTACACAACGACACACGATACGATCGTGATCGTACTCTCAAGCAGTTTACCTCACCAATCGACTACGATATTCAATAAGAAGAGTCGTTTCTGAAAATGTAAAAAACGTAAATTATTTGCGAAGGACAATAAAGTACATTTTCACCTCGTCATGGTGATATATTATTTTGCGACCGATGATGCACATAAAACGAATTTGCATAAACGATGCTATAACATCCAACATGTTCTTGGAAAGATTATTTATGTAACTCGTGAGATACCGTAATTGATTCTTCATGGGCTCTCGAGATCCTGTCATAATTGCGAGGTCGGGTCGTCACGAGACTCCCACGATGTCGCATTATCCGACAATGGTGTTCGTGACACGGTGATTAATTGTCTAGGGAAATTTTTGGATTCTAGTAAATTCTGAATGCGCATTTATTTGCAATAATTTTTAGTGTAGAATTACTTAATCGTTGTCAAACAAGTATTACCTATGCTGGAAGCGATAAAACAGATGTCTTCTATTTTATTTCTTTTATTTGATTTGAAGCATACTGTTTTATGACACTATAAACAAGCAAAACTGCAATAGAACAAATTACCTCCTGAACGTGCAAAAGTTTCATTTCCCTTCTTCACTTGTCGCTGGACCATTTTAACAGTCTTCTGTAATTCGTTTAATCGCATTCATATCTAATGACTTCCAGGATCGGCGGGATCGCGGCGGGAAGTAATCAGTGCCTTTGCTCTATCGAGGAGTATATTTCTGACAAAAAGGCGACTGAAATCCGGTAGGCGTGTAATTCGCACAAGCGCATCGGGGATTACCGGAAGCGTCGATCTTGCGTGGCAAGCGCACCCTGGGCGTCTGCGGAGCATCATCGACCTGCGAACCTGTCTGTCGGCCGGGTTTCTCAGTATCGTGAGACGAGACCGGTTGTGACGTAAAGGTCAGGGCTATCGTGCACATAATTTTTCCCGCACGCGCCACGGTCGGCGACAGGAAGTACCACGTTTGCACATACGTACGATTGTTAAAACAATTCAAGCTCCCGTATCGCGTAAATCTCAAATTGAAATTTCAATTGTATCAATTTTCAAAAATTTGTAATCTGGAATTCCACTCGCAGGATATAAAGACACTGCTGAACTCAGGAAATCCGAACTTCTCAGGTAACTCGTGACCTCGTGCAGGACGAAGAAATCCGGACTCCCTCCGCGCGCGCGCGCGCACATTTCTTTCACCTCGGTAGGCGTATTAATCTTTGTAACAATGCATCAACCTGCCTACTGAGCGCACCTAAGCGCATTCCTCATTGTTAGCGCGCGACTTTGCCACGGCGTGCATCTCGTGGGTGCGGGGTCGCGAGGAGAGGCTATGAGGGCACAAATAGAGGGGGGAGCATGAACCTTTGACCTCGGTACAGGCCACGACGTGGCTCTCCTTCCCTCTGGCAATCTCCGATGAAACCCTATTATACTTGGTGACCTCGAACTTCGCGAGACTATGTGGCTCGGGCTGTCTGCTTATGATCGTATCTGCATCCTTGTTATCACATTATCGTAATGTGACTTGGCCTATCGAACGTACGTAATAGCGAAGAAAGTTGGTCAGTAAAGCTTGTATCGTGAAATCTCGTCGTATGCAATTGAGGACAACGAACAATGACGTTGCTCAGATTTTTTTACGTAATGGAATTAAATCCGACGCGCAGGAATAATCTATAAGTTTTATCGTTTATAGACGGCGAAATAGTAGATAAGTAAAAGAGCGAGAGAGCATTGAGACACGCAAAAATTATGCGGCATTAGCGGAGATCGGTTGTAAAATAACGGAAAGACACTTATTTTTCACGATTGTTCTCCGCGGTCAAATCATTTTTTACACTATGCGCTGTTGTCACTACAAAGAGATAATACATAGAAATATTAAAAAGAGAAAACACGAGAAACTGATTTCGCGAGGAAAATCCGTTCTGTCGCGGGTCGAGATGCGCGACATCGAAGAATCGGCGAGGGGAGAAGAGGAAGTCTCCTGCATACCACCTGCGAGAAAGGAACGAGACAAAAAACGACAAGAGAAGGAAACTAGGAAGTGGTTGCGTGAAATGCGAGCAAAACGCGCGCACGGGAAGTCGACTGCTCGCATACTCCCAACTAACGCGAGCGAATTACACGCCCGGCAGAGCGGCGAACGGCGCGATTTCCTCGATTGAATCCGGCAGAATCATCTTCTCAAACCCTTATGAATGTTAAAACTCACTCAGTAATCGTCAATCATACACAACGGCTTTCCGCGTTGATGAGACGCGTTTCCTGATTAATCACACATCCGATTAACTCTTTCTATTGAGAACCTTTGTCTGGCTAAGAGTTACATATGTCGGATTAACGCGCGTCCAAGTGCTTGAAAGTAGAACTTGTGCGCACAACTATATACATTATTCAAGTATTGACTTGCACGTTCATCTTTATGAAGACCGAACGCTACGCATTCTCTTCGAAACGCACTTTGTTCCTATTTTTATGTGTGTATGCTAGTATTTAAAGTATTATTGTACTTGATGTATGTGTGCGCGGAAATTATTCCTCGTCATGTGTGGGAGCTAGCCTCGCGCCAGCTCGAGAAATAATACTTGTTCAACTTGTTAGTTATAATTACGGTTCTACAATTCAGATTCCTTATTCCCATTGCAGATGGGCTCGTTTGCAATCGGAACGGTAGCAGCTGCAACCACGAGCCTGATATTTATGGTGCTGATAGCAAGTGGCAATGCCGCGCTAGGTGAGTTTTATCAAAATTAGTCGCATAGCTTCTCTCTTGTCATAAAATATTAGGCGAGTGTTTGCACTTGATTTAGTATTTGTACTGAAATCTTGTAAAATCTTTTTAGTTTCTTATAAAAAAAAATTACAGAGGACAATGGAACAGTTTGTTCATGTAAAATTGCTTTTATATTTCAGCCAGGACGGCGTTCGAGAAGCTCACTGACTACGATTACCGCGGCACTACCTATTATAACGTAAGGAATCTATCGTTGTACGAGTGCCAGGGATGGTGCAGAGAGGAGGCAGAATGTCAGGCCGCCGCCTTCTCATTCGTCGTGAATCCTTTGGCGCCGATGCAGGATACTGTCTGCGCGCTGCAAAACGAAACGGCCGCCACAAATCCGGCTGCACAGCCGCAAAGGGCCGCTAATATGTATTATATGACAAAATTGCAAATAAGATCTGGTGAGTTAGTACGAGAGCTTTGGCACATTTATTTATATGAAGCACTTGATACGCTTGTTTCGTCTGGTGTTTAATAAAAATTATGTAAACATATATTATAGTGAAACAGAGAAAGACAGAAAGAGAGTGTAACATATGTGTAATGTATTATACTGAATATATGAAAGAATTTTTTGCACTGCAAATTGCTTCGGGAAATCTTGTGTCTGAGTAGAGCGATTTTCTTGGCAAATTGTTCCGCGTTTTGTGAGGGACCCAGTTGTTCATCGTATAATTCGCTCTTTAGCGAGGAACTTCAAGAATATTTATTTCAAAGTAAACTGGATAATTTGTAAAAAAAAAATGATAAAAAAATTAAAAAAGATAGACTAGTTCAGACATTCAAAGCAAATTAGCAATTATAAAAAATTTTATTTGACTGGCTGTAAAGTTAACAATCCAATTTAATGTGTTTCATAAATTCATTAAAATTGACGCTAACGTGGAGCGTGAAACTTTGTAATTAAATTTGCAACTTCTGAAATAATTCTATAATATTTATTTGTTATTCCTTATATAATATTCATTATGATTACGCAATGCATTAAAGTATTCATAATTTAATAGAATGCCAGAATCATCAAGGACCATTAAATTTCACATTTTCACAATTTTACATAGCTGGCCAAAAAAAGTATCGTTTTATTAGCCCGATGGTGCTTCATTTAGAATGAGCGGCATTTATTAGTAACAGCGGTTAGGAATTCGTACGGCCGGCGGTGATTCATCCGTGAAGGACTCATGCCTACGTTACCGTTGGCACTGCTTCCGTTGTCGGCAGCTTTAGCGCCGGTTTTGAGGGCGGAACAAAAGAAATTGGAACACCGAATGAGCTCGTCTAAAATACATTCCAGGCCCGTGTGCCAAAAAACGCGGCTATGTGCGTCATCGCCAGCATCAGCGCAATGCTAAGTCACATGCCAGCACCTTATGATCTTTTAACGCAGACTTTTCGTTGCGGCATAATTTGAGGGTGTCAATCAACTTTTTAGTACTTTTTAAAATTGTTTTAGAACAATTAAAAAATCATTGAGAAACAATAAGTTGTGAAAATGTTCAACAATTTTTCTTTTGATAATTATTTAATTTTTTCACCTAACATCTCTATAATTATCTCAGATATTAAATATGAATTTAATACCTGAAGTGGGATCTTCATTACTCCAGTTTCCACCCAGAAGTTCTAAATTTAGTTTTCTTTATTTTTAGATGAAAAGTGTGCCAAAAGAGATAGCAATTTAATTTGAATGTTATCAACTAGTGAGCAATAAAATGTGTAATAAATCAATTCATATAATCACAAATATATCAACGTGCCTGTTATATTTGAAATTTGTAACCAGACGTCACAAATTGTATCAAAAGTGTTATAAATATATGTTTACGTAATGGAAACAAAAAGAAAATTATCTAACTTTATTGCATTATTTTAGAAAATGTTTGTTTGCGGCCATGGGCTTTTGAACGCATTCCAAATAAGATGATTCGCGGGTTGGATAATGCATTAATTTACACGTCCACGAAAGAAGCTTGTCTCGCAGCATGCTTAAACGAGCATCGCTTCACTTGTCGTTCTGTGGAGTATAATTACGTAACGCTTCAATGTCATCTGAGCGATTCAGATCGTCGGACGACAGGTCAATATGTTCAATTTATCGATTCGCAGGGAGTGGATTACTTTGAAAACTTATGTTTGAAAGGTAAAATGTTTTGTAAAGAATATCTCTAGATACTAGAAAAAAAAAAAAAAAAAATATATATATAAATATTTGATTGGGTGTTTATAGGAAAAGAAGCTTGCAAGTCTCAAAGAATTTTCCAAGTGCCCAGAATCGGTGTAGCGGACGATAAAGTTGCGCAATATGCGGGTCTACATTATTACACCGACAAAGAACTACAAGTTCAAAGCGAGTCTGCTTGCAGATTAGCCTGCGAAATTGAGAATGAGTTCCTTTGCAGATCCTTCCTTTATCGCGGTGCTCCTCAAGGAACAGCTTATAATTGCCAACTTTTCCATTTGGACCATTGGACTCTCCCGGATGGACCTTCGACGTATCTCAATGCAGAGAGGCCTCTGATCGATAATGGAGAACGAGTTGGTACTTACTTCGAGAATTTCTGCGAAAGTGAGTAAGCTTTAAGTATTAGTTAGTTAAAAAATTTAAATGTTTATGTGCAATATTAATCATACGAATGTTATTACATCAATTTTAGAGAGTACTGGGCCGTTAGCGGATCCGCTACCGGTTGTCTTTGAAACAACAGAAGATTCTACAATAAATAATCTCACCAGAAATGACATTAATTGTGATAAAACTGGAACATGTTACGATGGTACGGAATCGATATCCTATATTATAAAAACAATGATTTAACAATAATTAACGATCAATGTTCCTTTAATAATTAATAATTCATGTTACAGTGTCGGTTGATTGTAAAGATACTCGTATTGCCGTTCAAGTCCGTACGAATAAACCTTTCAATGGACGTATTTATGCTCTCGGACGATCTGAAACTTGCAATATTGACGTTATCAATAGTGATCTTTTCAGGCTCGATCTTACGATGAGCGGACAAGATTGTAACACTCAAAGTGTAGTAAGTATATAATATTTAATATCCTTGTTACTTTAAAAATCAAAAGTATACTATGCATAATTGACAGTACTAATAAAAAATAATTGTAATTTTTCACGAAGCATCCTAAAGATACAAATATTTCTCCTGAAAAGTTAATTCTACATTTATACCACTTTCCAGTAGTGCCTCCAAAATACACATGCTTACAAATAGCTGCATTCAATAATCAACACTACTATACACTACTGTTAAGTTACAAACACCATATGTATATATCTAAAATTATTTTATTTCAATACTAATGTATCATATTTATTCTATTATTAGTCAGCACTACACATCTCTAACATATTATATAACACACAATTTTAACAAAAGTCCTTTTTTAATTGCATATTTTCCAAAGGTCGATAAAGAGTTTACAATGAATATTGCACATCCCTCTCTGCTTGAGTACTTAAATCTCTGTTCAAACTTTCTTTTCACCATGGCAGCGTGACGGTTTTCAGACTGGAATTTATTCAAATACGGTTGTACTGCAACACCATTCCGTGGTAATGACGAAGGCTGACAAAATCTACAAAGTTAAATGTACATATGACATGTCCTCGAAGAATATTACCTTCGGCATGATGCCGATTAGAGATCCGGAGATGATCAGTATCACTAGCGCACCGGAAGCACCGCCACCGAGGATTCGCATTCTCGATAGTCGATCGCGAGAAGTTGAAACTGTACGCATTGGTGACAAATTGACTTTCAGAATCGAAATTCCGGAGGACAGTAAGTTTATTTCTTACAAATTAATTTTTTTTAAAAAGATTCATTAATTCGTCCGACAATTAATATTAATATTCTGTATGTAGCTCCATACGGCATTTTTGCTCGCAGTTGCGTAGCTATGGCAAAGGATTCGAAAAGCACGTTTCAAATTATCGACGACGAAGGGTGAGTTGATTTTATTTTATATGACATTTTTTTGTTTATATGTTCGGCGAAGAATAAAACTTATAAAATAGATATTTAATTTTTCAGATGTCCCGTCGATCCTTCTATTTTTCCCAGTTTCACCCCCGACGGTAACGCTTTGCAATCTGTGTATGAGGCTTTTAGATTTACCGAATCATACGGCGTAATTTTCCAATGTAATGTGAAGTATTGTCTGGGACCTTGCGAACCGGTAATGGTTTTGTTATTTTTCCCATTAATCATAGAAGAAAAAAAATTCTTAACAATACCTTTCAGGCCGTTTGTGAATGGGGACGTGAATCCGTGGAATCATGGGGCAAGAGACGTAGAAGAAGCCTTGCAAACTCGACTGAGGAAAAAGGCGAAGACATGACTTTGTCCCAAGAAATCTTAGTGCTCGATTTTGGTGATGAAAAACAGTCTGAATTCCTAAAGAGTGATGCCAGCATAGATTTCAATGAAGCAGGTAAAATCGTGGGAAAGAATGCATCTAATGTTTATAGAAGTATATTCCTAACGTTCGAACTCGATATATCTATACTATTTATTTGCAGACAAAACAGTGACTATTGTGGAGCCATGTCCAACGAAAACTTCGGTGCTAGCGCTTGGGGTGACGTGTGCTCTTTTAGTGCTCCTTTATATTTCCACGATCTTTTGTTATTACATGAAGAAATGGCTGACACCTCGCAAAATGATACCTTAAAAGACACAAAGGTTTTGTCCGCAAAACGCATTTAAAAAGTAAACGAAGAAAACGATCACAAAGAGTACGAGAGTTCATACATACATTCACACACGCATATTCATATCGTAAGTTATCAAAAAATTCATACTTAGCGATACTCATTTGCCCTTCATTCTTATAATATGTTCATTTTCATTATATTTGCAACGAATAAAATATGCATAAGAGGGTAGAAGGTAAAAAAAAAAATCACCATTTAAAGGGCACAATCGTACTATCATAATGCGCATCAGAATTGCAGTTTAATGCATTAAATATTCTACGCAACATGTTGTCAAGGATTGTTATGTAATGTGAACACTGATTTTATCGATAGTACGGATGCATTATGTCTAAAAAAAAATAATTGTGCTCGTTAGTATAAATTGACGTTTCCGAAAAATTGGAAATATTTAAAAATAGATTGTTTTATGCGTAAAACTAAGTTTACACATACATTAAAAATTATTGACACTCGACGAAGATCACAAAGATCTCTTGTATTATACGTTGAAGACAAATATCTACATATAATCAAGATCGACAACGAAGATGGTGCCTCGTTAAACTGAAGTAATATTCGTACAAGTGTAGCAAGGAATAAATTATGAGTATCGTAATTTTCATGAAGGTGGCGTGTTTCATAATGATAAACGTAAATTATAAACGTGTAATTTATAATAGCAATATTTTCGTTGGATAATACTTGAGACATATTTTATCTATTTTGCAATATTTTATCTATTTTGTGGCTGCAAATACTTAACAACTTATACTCTTGGTCACTGAATTGTATTGAAATATTGTTGAAATAGCAAATAATTTTGATGATATAATTAAATTTTACGTATGAGGAAAGCATTGCTATATCAGCAACTACAATTAAAATTTGAATGAAATTTATGCATGCTAAACTTTGGAGGCATTATTGCAATGTTGGCGATCAACTTTTTTGTGCGCGCGTGCGCGTATTCATATACATGCATATTTCGCGGAGCACACTCGCGACTAAAGCCACCTTGAAAATGCAATGAGTATAGACTTTATTTAAGAGTATTCTTAGAAACAGCTAACTATCTTCTAGTAGCTACTTCTGATCGGGTTGCAAGGAGAAAGGAACGAGCGAACGAATTTATTTTTCGTGTTGCTCGAGATGAAATTTCCGGTATCTTTTGAATGGTTGATGTAGCTTTGGTTACTGTTTGCAGTATAAGGAAATCAATTTGTAACCCGCATCAAGACTAGCGGTATTTAAAGGTTCACGCTTCACTAACGTTTTTAATGATATAAATAGCATTAAGATAGTGATAGTGAACATGTAAGCATAGATACAAGAAAAGAAAAGAGAAAGAATGCGAGAAGATTTTTTTTTTCCGGATTTAGCGGATTCTCGAAGTGGTTCATACTTTACTCATACATTTTTAAATAAATTTATAAAGAAAAAACTACAAATGAATTATATTCGCATATATAATATAAATTTTCCATTTTCAATAACAATATCGAAGCGATTAATTGCGATGTTAAAATTAGCTGCAATAATAACGACAATAGTAATCAAACTGAGAAAAATGTTTTAAAGTACCAACTTCTTGCGAGAAACCCTGTTGAGATTCACAAGCAAGAGTATCTCTATTTGTGAAACTCATACTGGTATTGGAAATAAAAAATACTCAAGCATTCGGTTACTTAAATGTGAATTGTCTTCTGCGTGTTTATGACTGAAGCTTGAGAGCTCTCAAAATTTTAATCATACATGTTTAAAGTGTTAAACAAGAAATACTGGAGGTATAACGTAAATACTATCGGCAGCATGAGTAACCGAGTGAAATTCATTAAGGACAATCATATTTTCTTAGTTTATCAACTTTATTCTTTTAATAAACTCACTATTCTGCGCTAAATATTTTTTTCTGATTTTAATTTTTCAGACATTATTATGAACGAACATTATGCAACTATCTATTTTGAAAATAAAATTTCTATATCATATTGAAAATAAATATAGACATCATCATGCGTTGAATTAATTTACGAGATAAATGTCGAAATGAGAGAAATCACTCATGACAGCAGGAGTAAAAATATTTAATTTGAAAAAGTTGACTCCAGAAGAGTGGACTTTAAAATTGCTTCATTTCCGTCACTATTAATTATTAAATAATGGATGATATATGTATTTGTTTATTTGAAATATTATGACGACGTATTAATTTGATACGACAAGCGATTCTTCCTGCGATAGAGACGTTACGTAATGATTCATAAACAGTATAAATTGGATTGACTAAATTAAACCTTCCGGTTAAGGTGCTTGCTGTAAAGGGGTCACACTTTCAAAAATAAAGTATTATTTAAATTTAAAAGAACGATAGAGGATTAAGAAGATATCAGCTAATAACTTCATTAAGACTTTATTTTATGAAATCTAGATATATATTTCATAAAATTTACTTTTAAATCTACATATTAATGAAGCTATCAGCTAATAAAAAAATATTTATGTTGTATTAAAACAGTGCTAAGTCATCTAAAAATATTACGAAAGGTGTGATCCTTTGCGGTTTATAAAACAGTTTACAAAATGTATATATTATTAAGACAGACTGCAATAGACATTCAGAGATAAAGACACATACGCATCAATTATGCATCAATTACATATATTTGTACCCTATTTATATACATGAATGTTTCAGTAAATAAACTCAAATCAGTTTTGTCAGAATTTCTTTTCCTTTTTTATAGCCATTTATCTGTAACTATTTGTAGTTGTACATGGAAATGATGCCTGCAGTATTGCTAAACTCAATATTTTTATAATTTCTATATATTTCTAAAGAAGACATGTAAATTTTAATCAAATTTTATTGTCGTCACTTTTCCGTGTTACCAATTATTCTTCTCGGTATACTTATACAGTTATCGAACTCCATAGAGCTTCATGGAGTCACCAAGCTCCGTGTCGGTAATTCCAGGATCTTTTTAAAGAAAAAAAATTATATCACTGATTAACATAATTATCGAAAATCAACTGAAAGTTACAACTAAATTCTGGTTTGGTTTGATATTTATCTTAAAATACAAAACTGTACAAATTGAATACTGAATAAATTATTTTCCAATAACGTTTATTTATATAACTATAGATTTCTATATAAATGTAAAACATACAATATTATCAAATATTAATATTGTATGATTAAAATTGTTGCATTTCTATTCAAGCTATTCAAATTATTGAAACATAAAAGGAATATCTTCAGGCAAAAACTATCGATCGACTAATCCGCTTTCAAGGTGTCGATAACACTCTATGGATAAAACAGTTTTCTTGCATGCATTGTTTTTTTTTAATTGCTCGACCGATAAAGCAAGTTACTGTTTAACAGAATCTGTGGCGCATATCGCATTGACGTAATTTGTTCGCAGTCGAAAATGCGAAGTGACTTATGTTTCATCCTCTTGGAATTCTCCTTTCCCGATAAGAAAACGGCAGAAGATGAGAAAGAAAGAAAAGAGAGAGAGAGAGTGACCAACACATCGTATCGAGTCGTCGTCAAGCCTTCGTGCCAAAGGCAAATATATGGTAGTCAACCTCGATACGCCTTCGCCAATGATAAGATAAAGGTTAGTGTGCGTATGAGTATATGCTTACGTGATTCTCGCTGTAGAAACCGACTGTGGGCGTTGCATTGCGGTTTATTTGTGTGCATCGTGTTGCTGCATGCCTATTCTCGCGATAACGCTTCTTTCTCAACACGTGATTTCTTCTGTGGCTGCATCGACCGATCGTCCATCCGTACATTCATTCGTTTACTATTCATTTTGTAGCCGCAGCAACTACAGGTTGTATGTGAAAAATATAGAAATGTAAAGCGAGCGCATATTTTTCGCCGCATATGGTCGAAAGAAATTCAATGAAAAGAGAGTTTTGAGAACCGTTGCAGCGACTTCGTTCGTAAAATTAACATTCGAGGGTTCACAAGCAGGTAAACGTGTTAGTAGGCGCCATCGTGCGTCCGCCTACAGAGAAGATATATTTCCACATTGGTATATGTACGAGCAAATATATGACCGACCATATGCGCAACGTTTGATCTATATGTATCGCGTAGTCAGACACGATTTTAATAATTTTTAGTAGGTAAAAATTCCGTGAACTGTTAGTTTTTTAATTATTATTCAGATATGACGTACGAGAGTTATTAAATATTAATTTCTAGTTTCCTATTAATTATTAATTTTTTATTACATCTTAAAACATATTACAAAATTTAGATAATATATCCAATTTACGATATATTTTTATTCAGAGATAACATTTATTAAATTTATTAAGGAATTATTCGACAAGCAATTAATTTTATAAGATGTATAGTTATTTTCGCGAGCAAATTTTACCGAGAAGTAAATTTATCTATATGAATTTAAAAATACATGCTTTCGCACAATGATCGACCGTCTCTACTTATGCGTACGATTAGATTCAATGCTGTGTAATAATATGTACATATGTATGCATGCATTAATGCAAGTGTAATGGTTTGGTGCACGTGTACCGCTCTCTCAGAGAGCATGCCCATAAATAAGTTTCGGTCATAAACTCTAGATGCAATTCCAACGAATAGCGCTCTTTACTCTAGATAAAAGATTGTTGTGTACATATACACTTCTTTCCCGATGACCATAGTCGCTTATCGCACTTCCATTTGCTATGTGTCATAGTTCACGAATTCTTTCCTCAATTAAATCGCTCTAATAGAGCGACTATACTCTTTGATATATTAGCAGCGTACCAATTCAAAATGCAAATATTTATAAAAACGTAACTAAATAATGAAATACATGAAAATTGTATCCTATAGCTAATAAAAATATAAATAGAGTGTTAAATATCAATTGTTAAAATAGATACGCAATTTATTATCTGTATCATATATAACTCAACAAATAGCACAGACAATTAATAGATTATGAAATAAATAGTCAACGCATAAAAATATGATTAAAAATATGACATTAAGAGAAATAAAAATTTAACACGCGAAATCAGTTCTGGCAATACTGGCCCACACAAAATAATGTAAATTTTTGAGCGACAGCCAGCTTTACTAAAACTTAGCAAAATTCTAGGATCAGATTCAATTTATCATCTCCACGAAGTGTGTGTTTGTAGATGACCGTTTGTCTTGTTTTTGCCAAGAAGTCTCTCTTCTATAAGTCAAGCGAGAAGGTTGAAAAGCTATCTAACATATTTTTGCTGTAAATCGTCAACCTTTGTGCTCTTTCTTCCGTCTTATTTGTAACTAACTCGTCTAGTTCGTATCACAAGTAAGATAGGTCGACGATTGGATACAAGTCAGTGTCGTAAGTCAGAACATTGATAAATAGAGACTTGGCCCGTTTCTCTTTTCCTTCTCGTTCTTCTTTATCATTTCTATAGAGCCTCTTTCCCGATGGTCATGTCTGTGCATAAGTATGTGGAAGGAGAGCGCGGAAAGCGAAGGCTATAACAACCGCGTGAGCGAGCGCAAGTGAAAAAGAGAGATAGAAGATGGTCGACGTATATCATTTGGGCGCCGAGAAGTCTGCCACAACCAAGCCAGGCCAGAGGCGCGTCTCTGGTTACGCGACTATTTGGGGCGCCAAGCTGGTGACGGTGGTGCGGCGGGTGAACGGAGATTGAAGAAAGACAGCGGGGCGAGGAGAAGGTGAAGGTAGGCGTCCGAGCAACGTCCACCATGCAGAGAGGTTTACAGGGCCGGCGAATGAGGAGAAAAGAGAGAGGTTGCCCAAGGGGGCTCCGCAGGCCACATTCCAGAAGAATGCGAGTTTTCAAACATGCCTGGTCTGCGTGAATGTAGGTCCATGACCGATCCTATAATACGCACACAACGATCTCTTACGAACTGCGCGCTACGAGATGTATTCGTCTCTCGTCTCGCCTCTCCTGTGTCCATCGTTTGAACGTTTTCCCCCATGGCGCGTCTTTTCCCCCTAGTGCTGTTCTATCGCACACAGACGCATATATGAACACATATATCCTCCCTTCCTCTGTCTCCTCCTGCTCTCCCTTTCTTCGTCCCTCGCACTAACCCGGACGACCAGGCCGACCGAGCTGGCGACACCCTGTCTGGCAAGACCGGCCGGCGGACAAAAGAGGGGGCACCCGGGTGCTATGTTGCCACGTCCTCGGTCTTCGTGCTGCGCCTACCTTCGGCCCCAAGGACAAATCCGACGAGCCGTGCCAGCCATTGTGCCGCACTAGGCGACTGCCGGTCTAATGCTGCCTCAATATTTTCTTTATGCTTACTGCTGATATTATTTTCAGCCAATAAATCTTGTCTGATTGCTAAAAATAGAAAGTGCGAAATAGATAAATAAAAAAAAGAAATAAACGAAGTAAAAAAAAAACGCCAAGTATTTACCATATTCTGAGCTGCAATAGCATAAGCCAAATAAAAAAGTCATAGATTATTCGATAAAATACCAACATCGTTATGATGTAGTTAATATCGTCACTTCATGTTCATGTAGAAAATTAACAGGAAGAGTTCTATTTCATGGATGTAGATAGTGAAATACCTGAACGATGAGTCGTGCCTATATAACTACATGAAGGTCGATCCGTCCAAGAAGGCAGGTGCCTTCTTGCTGCACGGCGAACGTTTTTGAAAGGGGGCTTCATCGTGATCGGCGGATGCAAGAATAGCCGCCGTGATTCTTGGAAATAGAATAGGGTGCCTCTTCAGAGAACTGCGAGAGAATTCGTCGGCATCCTTGGTTTCTGCCAGTGGCGCGAATCGTGGAAATTTACGAAGCTTCGTCTGTTTCTTTTTATCAGTCTATCTTACTCACGCGCTCGTTCATCGAAGTATATGCGAGCGTGTGGCTTGCGTCATTGCCTCGCGGGTCCCTCTGCGCGTTCGTATGCGTTGCGGCCTACGTGTAACTAAGAAGAGACATGGCAACGGCGCGTGAAGCTAAACATATTAACTGTCGGCTCACGCCACAAAAACAACATGATCTCATTCCACGCCGCATATGCAAGAGGCTATCGTATACCTCAAAATCTCATTCAAAAGCAACTTCCACAGCATGAAACGAAAGAAACGAAAAGAAAGAAAAAAAGAAAATGGAGATGAGGTCTCACATGTATATACATGTACATGTAAAAAGAAAGAATAATAAAATTACAAAAATACCTATAAACATTACCTAATGAAAAATAGAAGAAATATTGATTGCAACTAGAAGAAATAATACTAACTTCTTTATCATAGAATTAGAGAGTACAGACAATTTCAACCCCAATAAGCTTGACATTAGCCATAAGTTAACATGGCTATAAGCCATTTTCTTGGAAAGCGAATTTTTCTCACCCAATAGCCGCTTTACCCGGTTGTAAAATTTTCTTTTTTATCACCATATCAGCTGTACAAATGATATATTGCATGCCATAGTGACCATATTTCCTACGAAATATGTCGTAACTTAAATTATACCTAATCTTTTGAGAAAGATTTGTTATTACAAATTGTTAGTTACAATTTATTTCAATTCCTTGCAACATTGTCTTTGTTTTTAAAATCTATGCAAATATTGCACATGCTATATAATGAATTGTAGAATTGTTTGAAATACTACATTCCGTATGTATTGGATCTCGTGAGAAGCCAGACGGAAGCACGATCAAATCGAGGAGAAAGGCGAGCAAAAATCGAGGCTCCATGCTGGCTGCCACGGCGAGCTGCTAAGCGGTGCGGCGGGCAGGCAGCAAGCAGTCAGACATCCACAGCAGACAACATGGCGCCGAGAGCGTCGTCGTCACGCCGGCGTGACGTTTCCCGCGCGCGTCATTAACGGAAGTGAGCCCACAAAATGGCGGAGTTTTACGGCGCTGAGGTGTGAAAGGGAAGAGAGAAAGGAGAAGACGGGGAGGGTGACTATGCCTGCGGGCAGTTAGACAGGCGAGCGAAGCAGGATGAGAAGAGATCCGTAGAAAGAGAGAAGGTTAGGTTGGTGGCACAGAGAAAGAAGAATGACTAGTAGCCGCCTTTGGCGGTGGACTAGCGCCCATACTGTACGAATGAGGCAACAGGGTATCGAGGGGGTACTCATAAGATAGAAAGAGGGAGTGCGACAAAGGCGATACGTTGAACGCAGAGAGCGCTAAACGAAGTAACGAGTGAGTGGGGATACACAGAGGAGAGGCCGAGAGCGCAAGGAGAGAGGCTCAAGGGAATGTGAGAGTGAGAGACGATGATGGAACGGAGGGGAAAGACCAGTGGGAGCAGCGGCAGTTCTCGTCGGTAGAGGGGATGAAAATTAGTTACGGCATCCAAGACCTAAAAGGAACTCCGGCGCCGCACGGTCAGATCGCATCGTGCAATGTTAAGCGTTAAGGTAGCCCCGTGCGTTGTTGACAGTGCCGGTTTCGAACTTCGTAGTAGTTGTTATCTGCGTTGTCGTTATACTCGAACTTGTTCTTGTAGTCGATGTGACAGCTATTGCCACGGGTGCGAGAAAAATAAAGTGCGTGTAATATTTTAGATATAAACCCATGACCTATGACGTGAGTGAAGTGCTCAGTGAGGATAGTTCAGTGAAAATGATTCACTCAAAGCACCAACAATTAGTGCACCAACAACATCAACAGCAGAACATGCGCAAATCTGTGGGCGTTATGGGTACTAGACGTATTTTCACAACAGCCTTTAAAATTAAAGTTCTGGATTCCTATAGACACGATAAAGATTGTCGTCAGAATCAGCGTGCCACTGCGAGGAAATATAACATTCATCGTCGTCAAATACAAAAATGGTTACAATGTGAGGAGCAACTCAGAAATAGCGTTGAAAACGGGAATACTGTAACCGCCTCATCAGCGACTATTTCTTCTGCTGGTATTTCGAAATCGGATGGTACTGTGACGGAAGCTACAGCAACTGCCGTGACTCCAGCAGCGCCGGCCTTGAACCTCAACCTCGCCAGACAGCACGGCGACGAGCTGACTACACAGCAAGGGCCCCCACCTCTTCCTCCGCATGGTAGTGCACCCTCCTCGCCCCAATATAGCCTTCAGACTACTACTACTGGCACAACTTTGCCCCTATGTGTCACATCTGTGGGCTATCAGGAATATTCATCCGAACAACAACGTCTCCGTCTGGAGCTCGAAGATAGACTTCATGTATCAGAGATTCAGAGATACTCAGATACACAAATGGATCAGGATCGAAATTACTACGTATTGAACGAAGATGGACAGCGAGATACAGAAACAGCGTCGGTATTTGGCGGTAAAAACGAGATAAAGGTATATCAAACTTTAACAAGTTACCATTCGCCGCATCAGGAACATCGATACGGCATAAATGATATCAGCAGTAATGCACGTAATCATTCGCCAAATTATCATTCGCAACAGCGTGAACAAAGTTATGAGAATGTCGATTCATTCGATGGTAGATCGTACGGTTTGCTGCTAGCGCCGTCGATGATAAAGACAGAGCCAGCGAGCCCAGACACAGCGGCGACGCCAGGGCCGTACGAACCGACAAGTTCCCCCGATGGCCAACAGGCCCCACTCTCGCCAGTATCACATCGAGTTACCGATAGCGGCAGCTCCTCGTCCGTTCACTTTGTTGACTCCTCACGAACCCCCGCGAGCCCGTACTTGCACACACATGAGCACGCACACGCATGCTCACCACTGAATTCCGAGAAACCGATCCCGTCGCTTTTGCACCAACAGGAGAGAGAGTCGGAGGAGACGACGCTATACAACGAAGAAAAAAGAGAAGAAGAAATACTGGACAAGGTAGAATGTTGCAGAACGGTAGTCAAAGAAGAAGTACATTTGGATGAAGAAGAAACATATAACGTAGGCGAAGAAGCTACTGCATCTTCGTGCATTGATTATCAACGACCTGTCGGCAGGTCGTTAGTCAATAGTTCAGGACCGATAAGCCCTATATATGATCGTAACGGTTACTCCTTACCTTCAAGTCCTCGTGATTCTGTCAGTGCTGGTAGATCCAGAAGTAGCTGGTCGGATAGCGAAATGGATCCTCTCGCTCCAGCTAATAGCCGGAATTTATCCGGCAATTTCACTCGTAGACGATCTTTTCCCTTACGTTTTAAACTTGATGTTCTCGATGCTTTTCATCAAGACAAGGAAGTAAAGGAAAATCAACGAGCCACTGCGAGAAAATTCAACATAAATCGTCGACAGGTACAGAAATGGTTGGAACAGGAGGCGGAACTTAGAGATGAAATTGCTCTTCGAGGAGATTTGCGTCAAAGATTGGGCCCTATTCAAGATGTTGCTTCCGGTGAGTCACCATTAGATTTGTCAACTGCGAATTGCGTTTCGCTATTGCGTGATCGACTAGAGATGGAACATGAACGATTGCCGCCACACTTTTATCGCTGCAATGGCATTGGTTCTGTTTCCTCTCAACATCCTCTTCATCATCAACACTCTGCTGGAATAGAATCTTCTGAGATGGAACCTGCTGGATCTTGCAATTTTTCTTGCTCTGCAGACAGCCATACTACATCAACAACATCCTCCTATCAGGAATTATCTTTGAAAGAATCCTGCTACACGGAGTCTTCAATTAAAGCATATTGTCATTCGCCAAGAGCAAATTCCGAAGTTTCTAATCTTTCTGAAGGATGCGAGCAAAGATATTCACCCCTGAAGAGACAGCATTGTATGATTTCTTGCTGTTACGATGCGATGCCATCACCGAAAAGATATTTCTGCGACAGACTTCCGGATGTAGATGACTCTTATGATGCACCTCCTCAAGATACGCCTCTTTGTCTTGTGAAACCAAAATTGACTCGACAAGTTTCTCCTTCACGAACGGAATTGATTACAATACCAATCAGTACTGTACCAACTTCGAATAATCCGGATGCCATCACTTTTAAGCCTTATTTGGATAACCCTGTGAGTAAACCTGCGAAGAAGTGCGCAGTTCAGCGTGATGCATCTCCTGTCAGTAACCATAACATCAACAACAATAATAATAATAACAACAACAATTGTCAGATTATTTGTAACTTTAACGAAAGTCAAAATCACAACTATGATTTCGAGCTTAATCTGCGAGTGCCGGTTTCTTGGAGGCCTGATGTAAGCCTGTATACAGGATTCCCGCAGGGGAACGCATTTGTCAGCGTGTCCTCACTTTACATGTAACTTTCTTCTCTCTATTTTAATCAAATGCGGATAAAAAAAAATCACAAAAACATATGAAAAGACTAGTAATCATTCACTCATGTTTCTTTTAATTTATTTTAAATAGATACATTTCTTAAACGTAAAAAAAAAATAATGCGTTCATTAGTTTGGAGATGTAAAAATCAGACCTGTAGGCTTCTCGAATGCGAATTTGCAAGCGAAAGATTGATTGGTACGTGATCTACTACACGTAGCGGACCACGTAAGCACTTATCGTTTCCACGGATCGTCGGTAACGCGTTATACATCGCGATAAAGTTTTAATCGGCCATTGGAAGAACCGAGGCGTGGAAGGAGATACATGGTCGCGTCCTCGGTTGGCGTCTTCTTCCAACTCCACCAAACTTGCTTGACCCGTTTCCCCTCCGTTGTCCTATCTTACTCTACGAAAAATCGCGCAGATATCCCGGCAGATTTTTTCATGAGTTTATCGTCAAGATTAAAGCTGATTATCGGCTAGGCCGTTTAGAGGTCGAATGCATTTGCTATAATTACGGAATTATGTCAGCATAGTCATTGCATCGAAGAAAAGCATAGGAAAAGAAATGTTTGGGCCAAAGTACCATTCACATATAAAACGTATTAAATTGTCCTTGCAGCATAATGTGTAACATATAGAAATGAGCATTACGTTTTCACAGATTTATTATTGAAGAAAAAAATTTTAATTGATATTTTAATGCAAAATATTTTTAATGAATATGCTTAGCAAATTGTATTTAATTTTTTATCTCGATATTACATATTCTGCTGCGAATGCATTGTGTGTCAGATAACAAAAATTATTTTAGGGCATGTTTTTTACATTTTTCCTATATTCTGCGGAAAACTATCCGTCGGCGATTAATTGCGCGATTTCTTGGTAGTACGATATGACGCGACATGGTTTTCCACGAACTAATCGTGCGATCGCATTCATTGTCGGTTGCGAATATGCAATCAATCTACAGAAATCATTTAATTGCTCAAACAGTTTCTTCCATGTGCGCACACGCGTATCATATTAGAATTACAATGCGATTGTTATCATCCATTTTTCATTCTTTGACAATTGTTATCTATTTCATGCTTTCACTTTTTTATTGTTTGCTCTTAAATGATCAGTCTGTAAATATGTAAATATTGAAAAAATAGAGAAGAAATATAACATTAGCCACCACAATAGAGGTTTTTACGGCGCATTTGGTGGAAATGTATTATAGTGTTATTTAAAAAAATTTAGTTTAATCATTGTCTTGATTTGGAAAAAATAAACTATTTTTATACAATCCCGCTTAAAAATAATAAAAAAATAAAAAATAATAAAAAAGCATGAGAAAAGACGGGAACTTGAGATAAACTACTTCCACAGAGACTACTTCTCATGTCTTTTTTTGGTCAATATAAGACGAAATGTTTTTAATGTATGACGCATATATATTAATACGAGTGTAATAGTAAATAAATTAATATTTTCAGAAAATTATTAAATTCATTAGAAGGCGAAAGAATCATCTCGCTGTGCATCTTGCTTTCAGCGAATTAATTTGCCAAATGACAACAAAAACATTCTATAATAATTTATCCAATTGTTAAAATGTTTAAAAACGGAAATAAGTACGCAAGGGGTGTTATTGCATATTTGTCAAACGCAAAATGTATTGATAGTTACTATTAATTAGTTCGCTAGTTGACGATAAAATCAGATGTTAAGCGGGGTGAGCAGAAAGATTTAAAAAGACACATGAGAACGGCTCTGAAAGAAAACTATGTGCCTTATGTAATATATTCATATTAGAATTATGTATGCACGCATAAATTGTGCCTCGGAGCTTGGTCACAAGATAAGATATACAAAATGTACAAGGAATATAGAAAATGTATAATAATGAATATTGTAATAATATTGTTTAGAATAGATTTATTAGTATTTAGAAAATAGAAATCAATGTTTAGAAGTGATAATTATTCGTATTTTTTACATACATCTACGTCCAAATTTGTAAAAGTTTCCTTTATATTTGCCACTGCTCGATAATCGGAATTGGATACTTTAGAAAAAAGGAAAATTACGCGTCAAAATTGAATCCGTCATTAAATATTGTGAATAACAAATAACACCCAATACGTTTGTACAAATAACGAACATAACGAATATTCTTATCATCTAAGATATCCAAATATTTGTATTTTGACAATCAACACTCTTGTTTATTGCATCTCCAGGATAAAAATAAAAAATAAATATATAGCACTCTTTTTCCCAGTGCACTAAGATTGGGCCCAGTGCACCATTAACATTGAGGTGCATTACGATCCTCGATATAAACAATTTCTTTCGTATCTGACTTTGTTGGCGAATTATCAAAGGAAAATCTTTGTAATTATTAGTTGATGTTAAAAGATATTAGGATGTAAGAGAATCTTGCTCAGACTTCAGAAAAAACATTGCAATATTAAGTAATCATAGAATAATATGGATTTTTTTTAACTTTTTTTATATTAATCGATTAAATTTTTTATTTAATAAATATTGCAACAATTATGTTGTACTTATAAATAAATTTCACGTACAACAATCAATAATGCAAAAGTAATAATGTTTATAGTTTCATAGAATATATTAATATTTTACTTATTAAATATGTGGGTCTGAAAAAAATTGATATTTTGTAGATTTCTGACAATCAAGTGGTTATCGAGCGACAGGCAAGAAGAGCAATTCTGTAAATTACTGCTGCAGACAGGGCAGTTACGTTAATGTTTCAATATTCACGCTTAAACGAGCTCATTCGTGGTGTGGCATTATCCAACGCGATTGCTTGTGCGATTGCTTCGTACCAAGCTCTAATTCATCATCTCACAAGGAATAAATTTATGACAATGTTATTATAATTATTCTACTAAGCTTTAGGATTTAGAATTTTTCGTGTATATAAGCATAGCTTTTAACTTGTTACAAGAATTGATTAAGAATCAAGTCTTTTTATCATTGAACAATTTGCCAACTAAGTCCGAAGATGAAAAGATTGTACAAAATAAATTCGTACGTTGCATGCTGATACACAGTGGCAATGTACAATAAAATCTAGCGTAATTGTAAGCCATAATAAATTACATAATGCCATAATACATTTTACATAATAAAGAGTCGTATGACTGATGAAAAAACCCTCGATTATGCGAAAAATCGCGCCGTCAGAGTGCCTTGTATGCGTGATGAGTGCGCTTATGTGCGTGTCCGTCTGTGTTCGTGTGTGTAATACATACATATGTCATGTACACACCACAGCCCACAAAAAGTCTGTTAACGAGAGGCATAAAGCGTATATAAGCAATATTTTTTAAGTGCATAAAAAAGGGGAGTTTCGTGGGCGAGCCCCTGCGTTTTATAGTCCATACGACACACAAGTAAATATGTGTAAGCATAATGCTCGTATCGTACATGTACAAAAAAAGAAAGTTTATATATATGTAAATAAAAAATAATAAAGTTAGAACGGAAATCAGAGAGCATATATAAATTTATCTATCTATCTATATATGTATATGTATGTATGTATATACATATATATACATTTATATCGAAAACTATATATTTTGATACAATTAACTTATATAATAAATACGCCTCCAAATTTGCCTAGTGCCTTCAGATTGTTCGTGCCTTACAGTTTCTCACGTGAGAAGGAATCAAGGATCAAAAACATATTCAAAGCAATATGTACTATATATATTTAAAAAAATTGATTTTTTCGACGAAATTGTGAATGCCTTAATAAATACAGAAAATGATGTATAGATGTACCAATGCACTCGTGTACAAGCATAGCATCAGTATTTGATTTGTTTCTTATTTATTGTTCTATTGTTTGCGTGACATATATAAATTATCCGATTCTACAAAGGAATTTAGTAAAACTTTGCGTGCGTTATCTGTATGCCTTTGCCACATACTTTGGAATTCGCATATTTTGGAAGAAATAAATTTCTCTCGTCACATCTTACGTGCAATCGATTTAATTCGTCTGATCGAAGTTTTTGCGATCACTTAATAATTTTCTTGCTCATCAATGTTATCTTGTGTATTGGCATGTAGTCGATAAACGTTGACAGAAACAACAGGCACGCGGTTCCTTCGATGTACGGCAGCTCAAAAATGCAATAGTCGAAAATAGTAGAACAGTTTATTAACATTTTCGTGTTGTAAAAAATTGTAAATAAAAACGATAATTAATTTTTATTACATCGCTTGCTTACGCGCGTCTTTTTTTCTCATTATCGAGTTTCACTCGAACCAACCATATCCATCATTGTGATTTATCAGGAGGAAGCAAACGAGAAGGAAAAAGAATGAGAGAGAGAGAGAGAGAGAGGAAAAGAGAAGTAGAAAAAGAAGGAAAAAAACATGTAAGAATGTGCGTGTGTATAATAAAGTGTTAAAGAATATGAGAATGAAAATATATGATTGTCAGCGTTTGAAGAGTGCAAGAGAATCATCAACGCATCAAGATATAAATCCATTTTTGTATGTTTAAAGAATTAGACGCAAGAATTATTGTATTAAATATTGTATCATATACACACATATAGATTATATGAAACGTGCCAAAATAATAAAAATGCTCATTTTGGCATTTACATTTTGGTATGACACGTTTCATATGACATAGAACTTTACGGGATTTGAGAGAAAATATAAGAGATTATTTTAAAAGTACTTGTTGTCACTGTCCCTGTCCATGTAATTTATTTTCTAAGATTGTTTACGCAGTCGTCATTTGTCGTCAATGACGAAGTTGCTAAAAAATGCTATCAATTGCAGATGTGACCTGAAACAATATTATTGTTTTGATAATTCAAGTATTAATTTGAAGTAGTCAAAATACAATTTTCGCGGAAGAAAATATGTTCACTGGCTGCAAAGTTCATCTGAAAAAGTAAATTAAATTAATTGTTTTATTATTAATTGTTTTATTATTATTTTGTAAATAAATCTACAAATAATAACAACAATTAATAATAGAAAATATTGTTAAAAATTTTTTATTTTTTTGAATTTGGTAAGAGTTATTAATTGTTAAATTTATAAATTTATTAAAGTTAAATAATTATATATTCTTAGTAAAATGTACTAAGGAATTGATCTATATTTTTCTTAAGATTCTGAAAAATCATATATTTGTTATATCTAAAGAAGATATGGTTTCATCGAAGAAAGCGTATTAACACATTTGACGCAATAATTCTTTCTTCTACTGATATGATTCACGAAGTCTCTCATGCGAGTCTATAAACCATACAAGTACTTATCTTCCGGTTAAGAGTATTTCAGCAGTTATGCGCAACACAATATGAAAGAGGAAAGTTTTATTCTTTAGTCACATTAAGCATTTTTGTTTATAGAACAAATATGGAGTTGAAAAATTTGTAATATTCTAAATCTTATTACTATTTTAACTTTTTACTTTTGAAATTGTTTTTATCATAACATAAAGTTAACTATATGTCTACCAAAATGACGATATCAATACCAAAATTGTGAATCTTTTTAATTAAATTATATTTGTCTCGTGAATTTTTAATCTATGTGTAATATTTTTTTATTGACTGCTAAAGAGCAATGCTAAAAAGTATCTTGTAAAAATTATTTTTTTAAAATTAAAAAAAATTATTCTGCATTAAATACTATAACAGTGCTTAATAATAGAGAAAAAGCTAGAGCAAAATTGGTCCTTAGGTAAGATGCTAAAATGGAATTTTACTCCTCTTGCAATTAACAATTTACGTAATTTCGCATATAACGTACACGAGACATGAGTTGCAGACTGCATTCCCGAAGAAACTCCGATATCTTGCTTTGGCTTGCCCCTCCGCATGGATTAAAGGCGCGATGGAGATAAGCGTGAGCCAAGTCATAGAGGCTCACGCACATCGCCTGTCTCCGCGTAGCGATAGCTTGCACCGATGCATTGTTTCCGTTATCGCGTCCGATTGGCAGCTCGTGCAACCGCAGTCGTATGCGTTGGACTCTCTAGGCATGCATCACCACTTGAATCACGTAATGCAGAAGCACAACACGTATACATAGACACATATCAATGTGTAAGGCTTGTAGCAAATGTTCTCTGTGCGATTGCTTATGTTTGTTGTAAATTCTGCACTTTGGAATCTGTACTACATTATTTATGTAGAAAATAAATATCTGAGATACAGAGTGGATTTTTTTGCTTCTACAAATATAAAAGATATTGATTTTATTTTTTTAAATTTATGATATAAATATAGTGGAGTAATAAAATATAGTTTGTGTAACTATCTCAAGTGCAGGATTTTCAATCATTAATTCACGAATATTGATGTAGAACACAATTTTCTGCTATGTAAATATATGATTTATTGTTGCTGTTTATTATGTGAATAAAATGCATTTTATATATATTTAGTTTATCCATACTTATGTTTCGTGTCCCAATGCAATGTAAGTGAGTTGATGTTAATGACCTGAGAAAATTGAACACTCGTTATCTCGTGCAGTGATTGAAGACAGGATAGAAGGCAAAATTCAATTTTAATTTCTATTTGCACCTGTGTTCCCATTTATGTGAAATAAATAAAATATGCATACCTGTAGTTATATTGTTAGTATATCAAATACAAATTCTTAGCATCGCGTAGCTAGCGTGAGCTATGTTACCTCGTATAGTACTGGTTCGCTACTTTAACAGCAGTGAGACAATTGATATTAATATAAGTTTATGACAAATAATGATTTTAAATTTTCGTATTCACAATGAAGTAGAACATATATAATATTATACTTTATAAAGAACTCTTAATCCGTTCTTCGGTTTGAAGTGCAAAAGTATTTTTATATGTACACACAAATGCAACGTCGTCTTTTAAATTTTATTTATAAATATATATATATATTGTATATTATTTATGAACAACATAAAATGTTACTTAATGAAGAAAATGATGCATCCCTCAAACAGGAATGTAAATTGTTAAGTAATCGTCCAAAGCCTCGCTGTTAAATCGTAATAATAACAACATTAGCTGTTTTTATTAAGGCCACCGTGCACGCTAAGTAGACCTTGAATCGAAGCATGACTGTTGCAATGCATCAATCAACGCCAATAAATGTCATCGGCTGGTGCAATACAATCGGGAAGGGTGCAGTTGTATGATAAAACAAAACTTCGTGCGATGACTGCAACGGAATGCAACATTTTGATCGTACAATATTATGAAGAAGTAGATCAATCGTGACGATATCGATCTTTATTATTTTTTGCGACAACAGTTTATTCGGAGATAATATTTAATTCAAAGCTGACTAAAGTGATTCGATGTGTGTTTCGAAAAGTGTTAAGAATACAATAATTAATTGAGTAGCATTAAATACTTATTTTTTTCTCGGAGAATAGCTTTGATCTATTCTCTGGTCGGAAGTACAAAAGTGTACGGGAAAAGACTCTGGCTTTGATCCAACGCTTGAGCGACGTAACTGATTCTGTTTGTGGAACAGGCAAACTATCAGTAAATAAATAAAGATCTAAAGTTTCAGCGATTATTCTATCAGCATGCTTCGTGCAAGTCGTTGCTTTTATTCATAAGACACTCTTCGCGGTAAGATTAGTAAGGCAACATAGGGGAAGTATGTCGTGAAATAAGAAATCGACATATTCCTGCGAAATAATATGCCAAAGCAGCGATCTTAGTAAATAACACGCTATTTATCAAATACTATTATTATTCATGAATTTTCATTATCGCTGTACCCTACGGTCGAGGTTTCTATGTCCCACATAGAGTATACATTCTCCCTCGTTCGATTATAGATTAAAGATAAAACTTGACGAGTGATGTTCTTTTATTGACGGCTTGTACAGAACAGAAATGATATTTCATTTTCGGATACTAGATTTAAACTAGGACTCAGAAGTTATTCTCTGAAGTGATTATCTGATATTTTGGAACACTAATTTAAACACATGCTATCATTATTTACTGCTATATGAAAAAAATGTTCGTATTTATACAAAAGTTCTTGTAAATTAATTACATAATACAAATAAACTTGCAATTGTATCGTAATTCGTTAATATGTATAATATTGTTTTCATGAGGTCAGAAATTATATCATTGTGATTACGTTAGTCATAATGAACTATAATAATTAAAATTTGATAGCATAAGTTAATAAATAGAGAATAATGAAAAAAGGTATTATTAAAGGTATTACGATTTGAGTTGTAATTCCGTCTGAGAAAGCTTTAGATACATGACATTCGAGCAGAAAAGATGTTCATTTTTGCGATAATTATACAGTAGACATTCGAGTTTTTATCTCTTTGATGTACGTAGTTTGGATGTCGTGTAACAAAGAAAGAAAAAGAAACAGAAGTCTCAAAAAATTGTAATATCCGTAACATAAAAAAAAATCACTGTTGTGAAAGGCTTATATAGTGTATATTTTTATTTCAGCAAGATATAATATTTTCTTTTTCTATCTCTTAATTCTTGTTTTCAAATTGTTATTGCTCTTATGTCGCTGTCAAACACAAAAATTAGTTATTCCAGTTTATCTCTTTTTTATTTTATTATAATTATCTATATATTTAGAGATAAAAATATCTCAACATATAAATGTTGGATTTGAATCTGTTGCTAAGTCGAATTTATGATTATAGATGTAAAGGAAATGTAACATCCTGGAAGAAATATATGTTAAATGTGCTAATAAAATTATATAAAATATAGAAATGACTGCACATTATAAATCTCCAGAAGTGACCATTATCTTGAGCAGGGAAGAAATTTATAAGAGATATCAAGATACTGCAATGATCATATTTAAAGTAAGAAAAACCAAACTAATTGAATTTTATTGATGAATTTCTAAATAAAAAATTTTTACATTACAGGAGCAACAAAATAGAAAGAAAGAAGTCATCAGTTACCTGAGTTTTGGAAATAGCCGCAGGACAATAGAATATAGTAATAATGGAAATCATCCTGTTATTATACGTAAGCCTGCAGGTTCTGCGATTACACAGAATACTCATTCATCTTCACAGATGTCAAGAGCACATCATAAGCCAGATGAAAAATGTATAATAAATTAATGAGTAGAAAATATTATAACCATTTGTTCAATAAATTTAGTTATTTGTATTAACATCAAGATTTTAATTCTTTTAAAATATTTTATATAACAGAAACAAGCATAATAAATTTCACTTACTAAGAATGAGCGGGTACTCAGAAAGTTCAAGTCGAATTTAATTCAAATATTCATTTTCAGATCATTTTTAGAATATTTAAAAATGTTGAGTACTTACATATTCTTATATTATGTATGTAAAATAAATTTACCATTATATATAAGCAATAAAGTAATATATAAATAGTGTACATAATATTCTGCAATAATTGCAGAAATGTTTACATTTTATCATTTAATGATGTGTTCGTCATGTGTATCATTAAATAATCTGTTCTTCAATAAGTGTTACGACATGATCATGATTAGATGCAGAAAATTATCTGGATAACTTAAATGCTCTGACATCCATTGAAGTGGTGTCTCTAACGGTGGTACAATGCCATGAGTGCGTACTGCAACTGTAAAATTAATTAATCAGTTTTAATGTTCCTAAATAAGTAAAAATATGTATATACATATGATTTGTAGAAAAAAATTAACATAATATACATAATATACATACATACATATAAATAACATTACGTACTATTTTCTTGATCTGGAAACACTTCATTTAACAATTGTTTCAATGTTTTTCTTTGGCCTTCTTCGTTCATTGGCTTTACGAGTTTCTGTATGTATTTATCTTCACTTGTATAACATCGAAAAGGTATATACTTGAATCCTTCTTCAGTGTTAGTTTCCATAAGTCTACCATTTACAGACCAAAACTGATCAAACTTATCGTTCATAATACCATTCCACAACTGTGTGTGATCCTTTTTCTGCATACTAGAAACAATTTGGCCTCTGTGCTTCAGAACATCAGCTTCTTTTATGCAAGAAAGGAAGTGTGCTTCTACAATTTCTCTAAAATTCATAAATAAGATTTTTATTATCCACATATTGGATAAATAAGCAGCCTGTGCTAGTATTGAATAAAACGTATTACGTACTTATTTTGACAATGCATTAAAACATTTTCTGGAAACTTATCAAAGTGGACAACAATATTCCAAGGTAATTGAATATCGTTAAAATAAATATCCAATAATACACCGATCGGATAATGCCACTTTAATGGAATTCCATTAAATTCTAGCCACATCTCGTGCTCTTGTTTAGTATCACTTTGTATATGCCGTATGAAATGCTTCCGCACCTATGTAATATAGACAGAAACAACAATATTAAAATAAAATTTTATAAGTTTAACTGATTTAATTAGTCAAAAGCAAAAATATAAAATATTTTGTATTAACTTATTTAATTTAGTTTATTCGTATATAATAATGTAATATGCAAATTATAAGTTTCTAATAAATTGTATTGCGAAAGTTCTTTACCTTTTCTGTACACAGTGGAAAGTAACTTAACCTGGGTAACATTAGATATAATGGATCCGGTGCTTGTAATTCACAGGTTTCTTCAGAATCAAGAGTAAAACAAACTGGAATTTTTCCATCCCATATTTCTCGAAGTACTTCTCGATCGTTTGCCATTGTACTCAAATTTTGAACGCTTTTACTGTACACATTTGCTAGCTAGAACTCCGTTTTTACAGCTACAATCTATACAAATCTATAACAGCAGTAAATGAAAATGTTCACTCTCTTTCTCTCTCTCTCTCTCGAAACTTGAAGATAATGTCGCCATCTAGTGACAAATATCACGTTTTTAAAATTCTGCTAATATCATCTAACGATAAATGTGAAAACAGCATTATATGTACCAATAAGGACTTGGTGCTGGAAATAAAAATAATTATGTTGAAATATACACCAAAAAATTGTTCTTTAATTGCTCCTTTCGTAATTACTTTTATTCCCAGCGCCAACTCCTTCTTAGTGATATATTATCAATTGTCGGTAAGATAAAAAGGAATCTTACCGTCTCAGTTATTATGAATTGTCAAGCGCATCTATTCGTATGTAGAATGCACTTTGCGATTATTTTGCATGTATTTTATTCGGACTAAACAAAATAAGTGCGAGTTTGTGTTGAGAATATCGATTAAAGTGACGGTAGATTGCCAGAATGTATATATCGTGAATATTATGTACCAATATTTACAATTAAAGACGTTTCGTCGATTATTAAATCATCGATTGAAATAGGTTATATTTCGAGTGAGTATGGATCGATTTTGATACCGCAAACACGCAAAATAATCACTACGCTTAAGAACATCGTAGTGCAATGTACTTTTTATTAGACGTAACGTATTGAATATTCAGTTTTGTACTTCTGTGATTGCTAAGATAGTCGTCATTCATCTCGCTCGCTCTGTGTTTATGTAGTGTTGACTGTCAAATGATTAAGATAATATAATTATATGTATATTTTGTATTTGCGGCATTTGCGAATTTGTGATATAAATCTGTGATTTTTGCTTGACAAACTGCGTGATCGCCAAAACAGTCATCTTTTACATTGTTTACTCAAAGTACATGTCAATCGAATAGTTCCTTTTGATACATTCCGATGACGAGTGATGGCACTCACTGTTCCGATAAATAGGAACATTCAGCGCTGTATACGTCATCTTTCGGTCACTATACAATCTATTGACAGTCTGTCACGGTTCGTTAACTCGAAACACGAATGTGAATGCTCCGTGATTAACCGCGATTAATCGCGGTTAACCGTGATTTAAACTTTCAAAGTGCGTAATAAGTGCGAGTTTTTGTCGGGAGTGTCGATTAAAGCGACGGGTGATTGTCAGAATGTATTACCGCGTACGTGACTTATTGCGACTGCCAGTATTTCACCAACCGCTGACGCGGGAAAGCGAATTTAAATTGCTGTAGTTCAGTAAGTACAAATTTTCATGCCATAGGCATGCGAAAATGACCACTATGTTTGCTTAAAACAATCAAAGCGCCATGTTCATTAGCGCCATGTATATTGAAAAATCAGTTTGTCGGAATTTTTGTCGAGTAAAACATTGTCGCGTACGTGTCCGTATCTGTTGATTTCGATCGTCGAAATAGTTTCGCTCTGAGTGCGCGTAATGTCGACCGCTGTATGTTGTGATATTCTGTGCTACGAATATGTGCGTGGACGCGACGTGATACGAAATGAGTTTTATATATATCTCACGTTTGCGTTTCGTATATCACAATTTATGATGTGATTTTCGACATTGTTTTGAAAGTGAAGTGCGCGAGTGTAACAAAGTGCTAGTGGAGTTCCAGGAATTCATCCATTCATCCATTCTTCTCTTAGAGCTGATGCAATGAAAATACCATGGCAGAATCTGCAGCGGATGGAGTAGACTACAACCCATACAACAATTCGACGTTCGATGGATGTCTATAGGACGTCCCACTCGACATGTACGGACGTCCAGATGACGTACCAGACATGTTCCGAGAACGTTCAGTAGATGTCATTTGTACGTACAATGTACCGCCCTTAAACGTCCTCTGTACGTCCTTAGTACATCCTTTGTACATCTTTAGGACGCCGTCGTATGTCGTTGGTACGTCGTTAGTACGTCATTATCGTGACATTACTACGTCTTCTATACGTCCTTAGTACGTTATTGTTGTATTTATTAGTAAAATATATTTTCATGTCAGTAAAATAGTGTAATTAAAAGTAAACAAATATTTTATAATAATGACAAAACAAAATTAAAACGCGCATATTTGTTTACATTTTATACTATTTTTACTGACATAAATCCTTTTTCAAAAAAAAACGTCCGTAAGAAATCCATTATGTTACGTTGCAACGATGCACTAATGCCGTACTACGAAAATATGTTGTTTAAGTATGGGTATATACTTGTACTTAAATGCATACAAGTATAAATAACGGACACCAATGCAATTAAACTATAAAATACTTTTTTTATTTTAATTGAAACACAATAAAATTTTTTACAACACACCTGTAAACTTTAAACAAAATTTTGGTTTGTTTTAATAACATCTCTTCGCAGACTCTTTGCAATAATAAGGAAATTAAGTGGTTGCTAATCAAATATTCTCTTCAAGCAAGTAAAACTAATAAAGCACCTGTTGTATTCACTACGTATACATTTCAACGTAAAACGTGTGTGGTCGCAATGATATCGATTATTGACCAAAAAGAGAAGTGCTCACAGATGGTAGCGGCTAAACCTTTCACGGAGCAAGCGCAAATCACAATGGATTGAAACAATCGTGAAGAGACGATTCAGTCAAACGATAATTTTCGCTCCGCGAACTTAAATAGAATTTAAATTTTTTATTATGAAACGCATTACACATTCTTCTCCTGTTTTTTTAGGCGATCTGTCGCTCGCCGGAACCAATCAATTATTGCTGTTTCGATCGCCCGATCGTCGATCTTTTTGTATCGGTGTTTCACAGCCTCTGTAAAAGGAATAGTGACTATATTACAATTACGTACAATTATGTACCCGGGCATAATAATATTGCACGTTAAAATAATTTCTTATGCGTAAATAAGAGGTTCTCTTTTTTTTGGAAGGACTTTTTTAATGTAAAAATAATAAATCCAGTTTCATGACGGTAGCACGTAAATGGAACTATAAAGATATTTACCAAATAATGCACGAACGAAAATCGTTCCTTCTAGCCGTTCGTTATTTTTCCGCCCCAACCATGAAACTCTGACTGCTAATTCGGGAGCAAATACATGCAAAAGCATTCGTCGTGTACAATCAGCAGCATCTTTACCACCTCGCATAAGCAGCATTTTTTCCTTATATAAAAATAAACAAAAATCAAGTAAAAGATCGATTTTTAGCGCTTTCGTACATATATTATAGATTTAAAAAAATCAATTATATTAATAGTCTGCTTGAACCTGCCTCACATAGACCAGATGAGATAACGAGAGCAAATAAAATATAAAATTCTACCAAACATGGAGGAATTTTCTACAAAAGAGATGCAAATTATTTTTTTAACAAATTTTAAACAAATCAAGTTTTACCTATAATTAAATAATAAAATATAATTGTACACTAGAAGCTGCAAAGAATGTATATTATATTTATATTTCGTAATTAATATTTATATTTATATTTCGCAATTTATGTATGTACATATTTAGCAATTTGTTACACGAGAAAAAATCTTAATTAAACACGTTTCAGTCCATGGCTATTCTGGCCTTTGTTTATTACTTTTTACAATAAATATAATT